CACTTCTCAACGATCAGCAATTTCTGCTCTGGCGTTGTTCTGAATAAACTACGATTCGCTATAAACATGCTTGCCACTTATTCATCTCGGCAACTAGTACCACTGAGAGTTGTCAACTTTAGTAGACTACCATTTAACACACGAAAATTGTTGCTTTCACACCGTCAACTTTATGACAAATGAATTTGTGATAAAATATCCGTACTAGCTGTCAAATATACCAGAATTACGTGAAAAACATGAAAGCACCTAGCGAACACGATATAGCTATGAGCGAGTAGTTCATCCCAGTCGTCGTCACTCATCGACGGTAACATTTTACCGTGAACCGTCGCCCATTCTTTGTCAGTCTCTTCTTCGATCTCTTCGACCGGTACATTCACGGTCACTCGTCGGCGACTTTTCACGTCAACCACCTGAATTATCGGTTCGTCTTTGGTCAATACATTTCACTGAACGAATATCTGAAACGCTGCAATGAAATCTGACTCTCCGAAGAGCGTTTTAAGAAGTTTGTTCGTTATTTTTTCTCAGATATCAGACTGAAAGCAGTCCAAAATATCAAACTTATTGCTTGCCTGTTCTTGATGACCAATAAGTCCGATTTCGCGAGCAATCGCAGTGGCTGTTGATGGATGATCACCTGAACAAACGGATACTGTTAACGAAACATTTAATATGTTTGAGAATATCACTTAATCTATGCAGACCACAGATTTGTCCAGCCCGAGTAACTGCTGTTAATTAAGTAAAAAACAGCAACTAATTCAATTCTTAAGAAGTGATCCTATTTCTTCCCCATAAGCGTATGGAAATGTATACTTACCTGTTACCATAAACACCTTAATGCCAGCGTGTTTGCACTGTGCGATTGCATTTGCTGTGTCCGGTCTGAAACAGTCTTCGTGTATAGCAATTATTTCTTAGACTTGGATCTATCCGCCCTCTATAGTCGTTGGATATGAACAACAAACCTTGGTGGATCCATGATTGCAGCGATACCAATGAATGTGAGTTCTTCAAATGGAAAGTTTCCCTCCTCGACACTGAATTTCGAATCTGAAGCTGCCCGAAATTCTTTTTGTGCGAATCCGATCACTCGACGACCGTTGTTGCCGTAATGATCGTATGCATCCTAAATCAGCGAACCTACCTTTCATCCAAAAATTCATCAATAACTGTCACATCGCGACGGAAAAGCAAATTGAATTAGTCAGATATCTTCTTCTGCGTGCAATCAGCATGAGAATAACTCGAGGTTTTTAAAAGAAATATAGTATTTTGAAATCGAGAGTTACTGTGCAATAAATTGCGCAAATTCTCGAACTGATCAAGTTGTCGCATTGTTGGACTATGTAAGGGGATATTATGCAAGAAGTATGTGCGGAAATTTTGAGGTCAGTTGGTGTGCATTGAATCAATATTCCAACTTGAAATTCCATTTGAATTTCATCATCAATCGGGATC